GAAGGCTGCTGGGGGGGTGGGGAGGTCCCAACTCCCTATGATAGAACGACTAAGTCACGGGGAGGAAAGGCACAGCAGGGGGACACGGTCCATACTATTATGACAGCATCTGCGGTGACAGATGGCAGCTACACTTGTGGTAAGTCACCATGAAGTACAGAGAAGCTAAGTCACAAGCTCACACACCTGAAGCTGCCATGATGCTGTGTGTCAGCTACACCTCAACAAAAAATTCATTATATAAACAAATAAACAAATAAAAAAGAGGTGGGAAAAAATGACAGAAGGGACATCCCTACGAATCCTAGAGAAATTAACAGGGTAATAAGGGAATACGATGAGCCACTCTGTGCCCCAAAGCTGATAGCCTGGAGGACACACAAGGTGCCATCTGCCAACAACACTCAGGGAAGGAGAGGCAGGCAGTACCAATAGGGCTCAACCTACCAAAGAAACCAAGGCAATAATAAATAACCTTCCAAAACAGAAAGCACCAGGGCCAGCTGGGATCCGAGTGGATTCCACCAAACATTCCAGGAAGGAACCTAACAGCCCCCTCTAGTCTCTGTGGGAAGATAGCACATGGGGAACACCTCCCTTCTCCATGAGCAAGGCCAACAACACCCGGACACTAACACCAAAGACATTACAAGAAAAGAAGACCACAAACCAACATGTGTCTTCAACAGAGACACAGAAACAAAAACACAAAAAGGAAAAAGGAAAGACCATTGTTTTGGAGCCCGTCAAAATTTAGACCTTCTGCTCTACACAAGCCCAGGTGACAGATGGCACATCCAGCCACCCACAGGGCTGGAAATGTGCAAGCCACGGTCGACCCTTGGCACTCATGGTTTCTGGCTTGGCAAATCCGCCCATGTGTGAAGCGTGCCTATGCGCCCACAGCAGTTCTGGAGACATGCTACACCCCTGCAGACACATGCAGAACAGTGACACGATGCTACAACATGCACCCTCCATAGGGTCCCTTCCACGGTTGGTTCAGGACCGTGATCTGCACTTGGGGATTTCTGCTGGAGATGTCTCTGTGTACAAGCAGGGACCTGGGGGGCTGTCTGGTGCTCCAGAGTGCAAGGGGGCTACACTGTGCCTCACAGGGAGCATGAGCGTGCAGGAGGTGCTGCAGTTGGGCCTTGAGTCTCGCTGGGGCCTGTGGGTCCAGTGTGAATGCATCAGCAGTACCTACACATAAGCGGTCTTCAAACAAGACATACATCAGGTGAAGCCACCTATTTCCGACAGAAATGTTGAGGCCGGAGCTTGGCAGGAAGCAAAGTGCGCTTTGTGGGAATCAACACAACAGGACACTCTAGTACAGAATGCACGCACCCTTACAGGTGGGCTGCCCCAGGTCAGGAGAATCCTCAGCATCTGAGGAAGGACTGGGACAGAAACCCAGACTCCCCAGTAAAAATGAAACACAAGATCCCACTAGGAACCTGGCAAAAGTCCTGAGAAGGCATTGCAGCACGAGGGCAGACAGGCCATCAGGGAAATTCATGTCAAATCCACCACAAGATGCCTCTCACAACAGGTAAAACCAAATCCTCTGGCACCCCAAAACAGGAAACTGGATCTCTGGCATGTTTCCGATAGGAGCGCATGACACAGCAGGTGCTCCGGAAAAGTCTGCAGACCTTGTCAAGTTAACACATCAATGGCCCAGGCCGGCCTCACCTCCTCTGGGCATGTGTACACGTGAAACCTGTGCATGAACATTCACAGCCGCCGTTTCTGCAGTCGACTCAAGTGTCCTGGCCCAGGGGGTGGCTGAACAGACCCCGATGGATGGCCCCACGGAGCCAACAAGCAGGCAGAAATGAGCTCCATGCAGCCACCATGGGGACCTAGCACAGTCCTGGAGAGCTGTGCTGAGTGGCCCAGGGGAGATGTCTGGGTGGGTCCTCTCCCAAAGCGCCGCTGACAAGACAGAATGTAGAAAGAGGGCAGATGGTGGTGGACATGGAGGGGCTATAGAGGCTGGGGGGGGGCATCCTGTGACCCAACTGTCCTGGAGACACTGCCCCCGGGTGACAACCCCAGCAGGACCGTACAGGCACAGGAACAAGAGGAGGGGGTGCTCACCAGGACACTGGGTCCTGTGCGATGTTGCAGCTACTGCTGGGGACCGGCAGGGGGCGGGGGGGGCCAGAACACAGGGTGGTGGGGATCCCAGGCAGGTCCAGGCAGGGGGCCCCAGCGGTGAGCCCTGGGCCCAGTGTCCGCCAGAGCCCGGTCCCTCCCATGGGTCCACCATACCCTCTGCTCCTGTCCTCCAGGCCACCGGCCACCCAGCAGGCAGCCCTGCAAAGCCTCCCTGATGCCTCCTATAAGGAGGTGGGCCACCCCTGGCTCCTCACCCGTCAACACCCTCCCCACCCCCAGCCTGGGGATCCTGCCAGGACCGCCACATTTCCCCCAGCTCCTCCGGTGCACAACAGCCCACCTCCCTGACCCCACCTGAGCTCCGCCCAGCCAGGCCTCCTCCAGCGCCCCGCCTCCTGGACCCCCGCCCCTCCCGGCCCCCTCCCGGCCCCCTCCAAGCCCCGCCCTCCCAGCCCCACCCTCCAGGTCCCTCCAAGCCCCGCCTCCGGCCCCCCCTCCAGCCCCGCCTGCAACCACACTGCCCTATGCAGTTGGAAAGACAGTCCAGGTGTAGCATTCTGCAAGGCTCTCCCCAAGATGTACTCTCTCTCCGGGGATGCCCAGCACACCTGCCCCTCCACCCCGACCCTGTGTGTGCGTCCAGGCCCTGCTACACCCCGACTCCACACACTGCCTATCGTCCCGCTACTCCCCCACCCCACTGTGCCTGGACCCTGCACACAGCCTGCCCCATTCCAGCTTCATCACATGAAAATCCAGCCTACTTTGTAGTTACCTCATGGCTGGTGGGCACTCACCTACTGAGGGAACAGATGAGTGAATGAAAGGTAGAGCAGGACACGACATGGCAGACTCCAGAATATTCAGAATATTCCCTGTGGAATTCCCTGGAATATTATTCCAGAATAATCCCTGTGGCCAACTTTCCCCGACCAACTCCCCTTGGAGAGCTCTCCACAAAACACAATTTCTTCAGAAATTACTCACAAATATGACCACACTGGATCAACACCCCAGGAAGAAATGGAGACAGGGACGTTGGGGTGGCTGGGGTTCCCCACCATCGCTCACACACAGCCAGGCATCGGCTGGATGTCTGAAATCTAAACACCAGATCTCCAAGTGGAAGTTACAAGGGCTGCCACAGGTCAGCAAGGCCACGCTGTCCACGGGCACACCACACGGAGTGGTCACGCAGAGAGCATGGGCGGCTCCCCACGCAGCCCTGTGGGTCTGACCTCGGGCGGTGATCTGACCAGGTGAGGCTTATGTCTACAAAGGGCTCGCTCCCATTGTGGGCATCCGCGGAGACGCCCGCCAGAACAGGCAGAGGCCACCTGCTCAGAGCTCGGACATGGCAAGGGAGTCAGCCACCCAAGCCCATGTCTGCAGATTCACAGGCAGTTGGGGGCCTCCATCATTGGTGATGGGGGTTATGGTGTGGCTGCCGGGGCTGGGGCTGGAGACGGGCCAGTTTCCTGGGCAGGCTATGGGGTCATGAGTATTTACAACAGTCCAGCCAGGGTCCATCAGTCCATCTGTCCGCTCAGGGCTGCTTTCCCCGTAACAGGACACAGCGACACTAACTGTGGTCCAGCTGCCCGACAGGAGCACTGCCCTCCCCGCAAAGCTCTAGAGCAGCCTCAGCTGTGGGAGGTGGGGTGTAGACACTGTCTGGAACGGGGTGGACAGGAGCTGCCCGGTGGTGGGAAGTTCCAGGCTCTGGGGTGCACAGCTGTAAACACTTCTCAGAACCCATGAAATAGCAGCATCTATGCATTTCACCATAGGCCAATTTTACCCCTGAGGGGAAGAAAGAGGTTGATGTTGATGAAGACATTAGGCATGAGGGGGCTGAGGTCTGCCACCTGCTTGGACAGGCAACGAAAAATGAAAAAGGCTGAGGGGCCCAGAAGATGGGGGTGCTGGCCGGGGACCCAGCAGCCAACTGCCTGCAGTCAGGCAGGTGCACAGGTGCTCACTGCCAACTCTCATGCCCCCTGGGTTACGTGTACACAACAAAATGTAGAGGGAAGTCAGGGCACTCAGGTGGCTCAGCTGGTTAAGGGACTGACTCTGGCTTTCAGCTCAGGTCATGATCTGGGGGTCCTGAGACTAAGTCCCACGTCAGGCTCTGAGCCAAGTGTGAAGTCAGCTTCAGATGGTCTCTCTCCCTCTGCCCCTCCCCTCCTCCAAGCTCACCCTCTCTAAAATAAATAAATAATTTCTCAGTCTCTAAAATAAATAAGCCTTTAAAAAGCAATGTTACAAAAAAAAAAAAAGCAATGTTACTTGACAGGATGAGCACTGGGTGTTATTCTATATGTTGGCAAATTGAACACCAATAAAAACTAAATTTATTAAAAATAATAATAATAATAAACAAAAAATAAATAAAAAGAAATGTTGAGGGAAACACGTCTAAACAAGCTTCACAGTGGGGACCAGGGGCCTTGGGAGGGCCAGAGGCCTCCACCGGCCACTACCCGGACCCTCTCAGGGCACAGGGGTGGGGCATATGACAGCTTACTTCTCAGAACTCTGAGCTTCGCACGCACACACAAGCAGCTGTGAGACACAGCAAGGGGCTGAACACACACACCCGTTCTCAGAAATTGGCATTTGTGAGCACAGAAGCAGGTGTCAGTATCACGCACTGCCTGATGCCCTCGGACCCCCAGTGGCGAACACCAGTCTGCCCGCCTTCTGCCATCTGCTCCAGGCTCCCAGCTCCCCAGCCCTCCCATCCTCAGAGGCCTCTTCCCAGGGCTCTGCTGGGAGATTTCATCTGCTGAGTTCTCAGGGTGTCTGGTCTACACAAAACCAAGTCCCACCACCTTCTACCCAAAAGGAAACCAGAATTCCACACAGGCTACTTGTGGGTCACATTTTAATAGCCACCCTGTAACATCCAAGAGGACACCCCAGCACTAGAGGTTCACATTGCAGAGGACAACGGAAGTCAGTGGTCTCAAGCGGGGAGGAAAGTCACCCCCAACTGAGAAACCTTGGCCACATCTCAAACCAGCAGCAAGTAAACCAAGCAGAAGCTCCATCCTGGGCCCTGCTGTCCAGGCCCAGGGCAGCTCCAGGGCAGATGTGGAGGGCTGGCATGAGGGAAGGCAGTGCCCAGAGCCCGCCTGTTCTATTGGCCAGCCCCAGATGCAGAAGGATGCAGGCAGCCCCAGGGCGAGGCTGGACTGCCCTTGTCCTGCGTCGATGCTGGAATGACCTGCAAACCCTCAAAGCTGGTATCTTGTCCAACATCACACAGCAGAGGCTACAGCTCAGCTCAGCCCAGAAACAGATGTGCAGCAGGCTCCTCCTCACCCCCAGGCCAGGGTGGGCTTCTGCCACTCCCAGCCACAGGGAAGCCCCCACACAACGGCCCATGCAGGGCCTCCAACCCACCACGAGAAGCACGGTGGGCAGGCCATGCCTGGACCGCACCTGCACACCCGCAACACCGGCGGCCCTGGGAGGCCCACTACACCTGGGGGCCTCCAGAGCAGGGGACCGCTGTGGGCAGTGAGGGTCAGCCTGCAGAGCGTGGCCAGCAGACAGGGCCCTCCACAGCTCCCTTGGCAGCTCCAGAATCTCTGAGAGTGGCGGGCATCCGGGGCTACTTGGTGGCCATGGGCCACCAGTCCGGCACAGACACAGTTACGGCCACCTGGCTGCTCTCAGAGGTCCTGATGTGGAGAGGACCTCTGATTTTCTCTGACCGTAGCAAGGCCAGGCCCACGTCTCCCTGGCCTGCCCGGTACTTGCCAGCCACCTGCCCCGACTCCATGAGCACCGTGGTGCCAGGCGTGATGCCACTGGCAGGGAGAGGGCCTGAGAGCTGTACCGGGAAGAGGCGCTTGCGGATGACGCCCATGTGGTGGGTGCGGGCTGTCAGCTCCTGGCCGATGTAGCAGCCCTTCGTGAAGCTGACGCCATTCATGAAAGCCAGGTTGGACTCCAGGGGCAGGGCTACTCCTGGGGGCAGGTCACGGATCCCCTCGGGAACACCTGCGGAGTAGGAGGGAAGTGGCTCCCTGAGGCCTGAGGGGTCCTTCAGCCAGGGAGTGGGGGGCACCCCTCCCATGCCCCACACCCTGCAGAGCCCGCTGCCCACACACCAGCCTCCAGCACAGGTGGGGTTGTGGAGAGCTAGCACTGAACACCTGAGCCCCCGCCCAGGCCCCCCAGGGCACAGGCCCAGCACAGGGCCACCACTCCACCCCACCCCCACCCGACCATGCCCCATCCCACACCCAGACCTTGCCGGTACCGGTGCCGGTGATAGTCCCGGAGGTCTCCCAGCTGGCCCCTGGGTACCAGGGCCAGGCCCTCATCCTGGGTGAGAAGCCGCCAGCCCATGCGGGCGGTCCGAGGGTCGCGGGTGAGGATGGTGGCCCCGTTGGTCTGCTCCCACAGCGGCACAGCCCCACCAGCCTCCTCAGGGGAACTGGGCAGTATAGCCCACACACGCAGCTCCGGGTGCGGCTCCACCTTGACCTTCCGTCGGATCTTGTACAGAGCCAGGTGCCCCTGCAGCGCGCCCAGCACTGCACTGTCACACTCCAGAAGGAAGGCGGGTGCCTCGTCCAGCTCGGGGAGACTGCAGGCAGAGGCAGGAGCTCCTGAGGTCAGTGCCCAGCCATGGACCACCCGTCTGTACCGCTGTGTGCCACCCTGAGCCCCACACGCCGTGTGAGACCTCACGTCCACCGAGGCGGCCCTCCCCATCCATAGGGCTGGCAGAGCTAGTGCGGGCCCAGGGAGTAGACCACGCGGGGCAGGCCCGGGGCCATGGCACTGCGCAGTCTTCACAGACAGAGGAGCACAGACCACGGCTAGTGCAGGGTCCTTAGCGGGACGTCCAGGGCCCACACAGTACAGAGGTGGGATCCTGGCTACAGAAGTGGATTGAACACGGACCCACAGCTGAGGGGAAACCAAGGCAGGGAACTGGTAAGACCAGCCAGGTTTATGTCTGAGAAGGTCACCAGGTGCTGCCCCTGGCCCTTCCCCTAGTCCCCACCAGCAGGCGCCCCCCGGCCCCTCCCCCAGACCCCACCAGGTGCTGCTCCCCTCCCCTCCCCCCATGCCCCACCACCAGGTGTCCCTGGTCCTTCCCCCCAGGCCCCACCAGCTGGTGCCCCCAGACAAAACAGGGTTAAGTGCTGCCCTGGAAAAACCAGTCACTCTCAAAGAAAAGAGCTGCAGGGGTTTGCTTGCCTCACCCTAAGTATACATTGTGTTGTGTTCACACTCATCCCACAAACAGCAGTCATGGGTCCCAACCAATACAGGTGGACAGAGCTAAAAAAACGTCAAGGTACGTGAGCCCAAGCCAAACAACTCCCTTTGTCTGACCTCCTAAGACGACCCATTACTCAGGGTAGAAAGGAACAGCCAGGAAGGAGCAGGGGCTGAGAAGGGCGGATGTGCGCACAGGGCTGACGGGACAGCTGTCCTAACCCCGTCACAGACACCTGCGCACCCAGACACACATTCACACATATGTGGCTCATGTCCCACCCCTGAGTGTTACCCCAGACCACAGGAGGCAAGACTGTGTGTGGAACTAGGGGAAGGGTGCTTGGAGCCTCCCTGCTCCTTTTTCTGTTTCCTGTGTCTACAATTATTAAAAAAAAAAAAAAAAAAAGTTAAGAGATAAAAAAGCAGCTGCCTAGGAAGGTGGAGCTCAGGGTGTCTGTAGGGGATCAGCGCCCTGCACAGCGCCCAGTATGCTGGCATGTGCCCTGCCATAAACACAAGACTCCACTCTACCCTGGTCCAGGATCTTCACACATACACGGTCCCTTGAGGATGCGGCGGGGGGCCAGGACCGGACAAGGACAGAGGCTAGCTGGCATGCTCCAAGTCACCTAGGGGTGCACCTACTGGGTGCACAAGGGGGGCTGAGGACACAGTGGCCTGCAAGCTCCCAAGAGCCACCCCCCGAAGGCCAGGGCAGGAGTGCTGCCGAGATGCTGGTTATATGCATATATGCCAGGGGGCACCCCCTGCTGGAAACAGGGGAGCAGATGAGGGTCCCTGTCCTCAATGGGGAGAGCACCTAGCAAGGCCAGCATAGCCAGGGGCAGAACCTACAGCATCTCCTACATGGTCTGTACCCGGGGAGGGCCCACAGCCCTCGGGGAGGGTCCCGCATCATCAGGGCCACGTAGGGGTCACATGCATAGTTGGAATGAGACAGCACACAGCCTGGCCTGAAAGGATGAGCCAGCAAGTGTCACATCCGACAAACGTCTGTTGTTCAAAATACAGAAGAGCCCTGGAAACTCAATAAGAAACAAACAACCAGATTAAAAGCAGGCCAGAGACTTTAAGAGACAGCTCCCAGGGAAGACAGCAGAAGGCAAAGAAGCTGGTTTGCAGGACAGTACAGTCGGCGGCTTCTGGCAAAACCAAATGCTCTTCCGCTACAACCCAGCCGTGGAGCTTCTAGGCACTGCCCCAAAGCAGATCCCCAAATCCCGACTCGGTGGTTTACAGCAGCTTTACCACAACCGGGAATTGTGAATGCCTACAGACACCTTGGGCCGTCCACACAATGGACAGGACTCAGTGCTGAGAACAAACGGGCTTCTAAACCACAAGGAGCCGTGGGGGAACCTGAGGGGTGGGTTACTGGGTGAAAGCCACCCATCCCAGCAGGCACGCACTCTGTGATTTCAAGTGTGGGGCGTCCTGGAGAAGGCGGGGCTGTGGACACAGGAGACAGGTCCCCTCTGGGGGCAGCGGGGGAGGACTTGGGGAGGACTGCAGAGCTTTGGGGCCATGAAACCATCGTTGTGTGACCCTGCGGTCCTGGGCACACATCCTACTCCATGCCCACGGCAGGCACAGCACCAGGAGTGAACCCCATGGATGGGGGGGAGGGTGAGGGGGCTCTGGGTGATGCAGCACCAGTGCGGGTCCATCAGCTGGAACCCATGCACCCTCCTTCTGGTGGGGACGCTGACCTGAGGGCGGCTACATGCAAACAGGAGCTCTCCAATCCTTCCCCTCAATTCTACTGGAGCCAGAAGCTGCTCCAAACAGTCAAGGCCACTATAAGAGCAAAGCAGCGAAGCCACCCCTGCGACCAGGTGCCGCCCCTAGGAACACCGAACGGGGAGCCTGAGGAAGGAACGAGGTACGGACACCAGAAACTCCAGAGAGCAGCAGGCAGGGGGCGCTGGGCTCCCAGGGAGGTGGCCCTCTCCCCAGTTGCGCACCTGGGCCAGGCAAGTGGGCAGGACTGGACCCACAGGAGGAGCCAGACCCCACCGCAGGTATTGGGACCTATACATACCTCATATGGGTGTATGGCTCCTCACCTCCCCGAAGGGAGCCGACTGTGGGGCGACCCCCTGCGGCACTGCAGACCCCACACGCGGCTGAGCAGAAACAGCCACTCGCAAGGTGCTGACCTCGGAGACCAGCTGGGCGCCGCCGGGTGGGGTGCTCCGCCCGGGTGCCCCTCCCACCACCAAGCGTCCTCCCCCAGGGCCCTCCGCGCGCCCCCGGCCCTCCGCGCGCCCCCGGCCCGCCCCAGCTCTGCGGCCCGCGCTCACCCGTACAGGAGGACGTCGTAGAGCGTGCGGCCCTGCGCGGTGAGGAAGTGGGCGTAGCCTGCTCGCACCAGGGGCGGGGCCTCGCCGGCCGCAGGACCCGGAAACGGCAGTTCATTGGTCAGCAGCCCCAGGAGGAAGGGCGCGGAGTCCGGCCCGCGCACGCGCAGCAGAGCGCGCTCGGCCAGCGGGAAGCAGGCCCAGGCCGCACCACCCACAGGGTCGTCGCCCTGACAGCCCGCGCTCTGAGCCAGGCGGCGCTTTGGAGCCGCGCGCAGCCGCCAGCACCAGGCCGGGCCGCCGCGCCCCGGAACCGCGCCCCGCAGCAGCGCCGCGGCCGCCATCTTGGGGAGGAGTGGGGCGGCGTGAAGGGGCGGCCCCGCTACCGCGCGCGCGGGCGGGCGCCACAGCGCTCTCTGGCGGCGGGCGGGAGTACACGGGGGGCGGGGCTCGCGGAGCAGGACCGAGCTTCCGGCGGGCGGGGCTTTGGCGCGGAGGGGGGTGGGGCCAGAGCTGTGGGGCGGGATTGTGGGGAGGGGACGCAGAGGGCGGGGCGGGGTTTGCGCGGTGGGCGGGGCCTCCGGGAGGGGCGGGGCCTCGCGTTGTCCGTCAGCCTCCCGCGCGTGGTCCTGGCTCCTGGCCGGTCCCTGTCGTCCCGCTGGCTTTCCTGCGGCAGGGAGAGCTCCGCCACCTCGCTAAGGCGCCGTCCAGCTCATTTACGTGCCCCCGCCACCGGCTCCCGGGACTCCCGCTGCCCTCTGTCGGGGAACCTGACTCCCGAGGGCGTCCGGAGCAGGCCAGTTTCATATGTGTGGGCGCAGGTGCCGGGGCTTCGTCTGTCGTGGGGACGTGTCCGTGGCTTGGAGACCCAGGCCGCAGTTCCTGTGGGTATCGTGTGCAGGACGCCTTTCTCCCCCTGTGGATTCTCAGCTCTCACAATCCCCTTTTCTGGTGCTCTGGATGCTAGATGTGCTTGGGAGGGGGCCTCCGCTCTGCCCCCACCCACGTGGAGTCACACCCCACAGGCCGCCTCACAGCAGACGCCAGCCACAGTCCAGGGGTCGCCCCCGCTGACCCCCCAGCTACAGGCCAGAGGCTCCCACGGCCCCTCCTCGGGTCCCTGAACTTGCTGGAGCGGCTCAGATCTCAGAGAAATGTCTGACGTTACCAGCTTATTATCCAAGGCTGTGACCTGGGGCCAGCTCCGGGGCAGGTCACTCTCCCCACGTCTCCACGCGCTCACCAGCCCCAAGCTTCCCAAGCCTGTCCTCCGGGGTTTCCATGGGGCCTCATCACTGGGCATTGGTGACTGACCCCTCTCCCCTCCCAGAGATCAGGGGGCGGGACTGAAGCATCCAACCCTCTGCTCCCAGGGTTGGGTCCCCTGGCCACCCGCCCCCATCCTGAGGGGCCGCCCAAGGTCACCTCCTCCACACTCCCTCAGGGGCTCCTTACGAGCACCAGGACGCCTCCATCGCTCTCCTCACTTGGGGAAACCCCAAGGGCCTTGGGCGTTCTGTGCCAGGAGCCATGACAAAGACACACACGTGCTTCGTGGTATAAACCACATGATAAAATTTGGTTTATATATATACCACGTGGTATAAACCAACTCCCAAGGGGAGTTGCCAGGTCATACGGTAATTTTCTGACTTTCCAAGGAAAGTCCATACCATTTTCAGTGGTGTGTGCATCAATTGGGAGACACAACCCATCCCAGGTGGCTAAACCAGACATCGGTGTCTTGAAATTCTGGAGCCTGGAGTCCAGGAACGGTCAGTTTCTGCTGAGGCCTCTCTCCGTGGCGTGCAGACAGGGCCCTCTTGCCTTTACTGTGCCTTCTCCTCACCTGGTCTACCTGTCAGAGCCCCCCATAGCAACCTGGCATGCAAATGAGGCCAGAGGCCAGGCTGTGCCAGCCCCTGCCCAGTGCTCCAGGGCCATGCTCACACCCTGTGGTACCCACCCCCCTCACACTGCCTGCAAGCACAGCTCCACGTCCCTGTCTGCACTTGAGACATCTTCCCCAAATTCCATATCCGCAGCCTGCTGGGCACCCCCTAGTGTGTCCCGTCCCTCAAGCAAGAGCATGTTTGCACCAGTGGGACCCGCACAGCTCCAATGGCCCTGAAGAACAATTTTGGGACACCTCCCTCTGCACGCCTGCATCCAGGAGCTTGGGGCTCCACGTGGCACCAGGTCCCCCTGCGGCGTGGCCCCTGGGACTACCCGGGTGGTCTCCTTGGGTTCGGGTACTGAAGAGACCACTTGAAAAGGCTCTGGCTGCTGGAGCCACAGCCACCCCGAGTGGCATCCCACGGTAAGCAGTGTGGTCCTGCAACTAGCGACCCCACAGCTGTCCACCTGCGGCCATCTCCAGACTGCCCCCCCTTGCCCTGGCCACTCTCTGAGACACTGAACGCCCCCCACTGATTCATGTGGTTAGTGTGTGAAGCACCAGCATCCGGGGGCTCTGTGGCTCCCTGCCGCACCCTGGGGCACAGGTAACAGTTGCAATGCACAGGCCAGGGTCCAGGCAAGCTCCATGGGAGGGCCCATCGTGCGTGGTCCGAGCACCTTGGCAGCCTCATCCGGGGCCCTGACCTACCCGTCCCTCTGCCTCGGCACCTCTGCTGACCCGGCTCCCTTGCACCCTTCCCAACCCTTCTCACACTCATGCTGCCCAGGACCTAGGAGGTGCCAAGTCCTTCCGGACTGGCGGCACAATGACGAGTGTGGGTGTCCCAGGTCCTTGGCCCCCCTCCTGGCTGGCGCCCTGGCTGTGATCCGCCAGCCCTGGTATGCGTCCCCCCTGGCCGCTGGCTGTGCGCCCTTTCTATAGAAGGTCTTCCTCTGCCCAGCCTGGCATTCCACAGGTGACCTGGCACCTCCCTGTGCGCCCGGGGAGGATGGAGAGGAAGCCACTGGGACGACACGGGCTGGGGGTCACGTTCCTCTGGCCTCACGTCAGCCCATCCCTCAACAAGAGAGCTTTCCCACCAGCTCTGGCCAGCAGGCACCCCCAGAACCTTCCCTGACCTTCCCAGTGCCCCCCCACCCCCTGCACCGTCCATCGCAGCAGCTGCCTGCCCCAGGGCTGCTCAAGGGCTCCCCAACCCAAACAGAGCCAGTGAAGCTTTGGCTTCTGCCTCAAGTCACTGCCACGCCCAGAGCCTCAGGGCAGGTGGCTGCCCCCACCCACCCACCAGCGCTGCCCCAAGTCCCCTCCTCCGGGAGGCCCTCTGGGGTCTCCATGCCAGCCTGGCCAGCCCGCCAGTGTGTGGGCTGCGCCTTCCTGGGTGCAGCTCTGTGCCAGAGGTGGTGGAGGCGGTGGAGGCGGTGGGGCGGGGGTCTGTCCGGCAGCGGAGTCTCCCGGGCACCCATACTCCTCCACCCGGCTTGGTCTGGCAGCTGCATTGTCGCTGTGCCCCCCATCGGAGGGGCGGAGAGCCGGGAGCTGGGAAACCGGCAGGCCTAGGGGTCCCGGACTCGACTTCCCAGCTGCTGCTGGGCCAGGGGTGGTTTCCTGTTATTCTCTGCTCATGGCCTCCTCCCTTCCCAAAGGGAAGCGTCCTGGCAGCCCCTCCCCACAGCCCTCCACAGTTGCCCCAGTGCCAGCAAGTTGGCTCCAGCTGTGGAAACGGAAGACAGCCAGACAAGGCCATCCCGTCCGCTCTGGCCCCCCAGCCCAGCAAGGTCTGGGCTCTGCCTCCTCCGCGCTGCAGGGACCAGAAGATGGGGGGCAGTTAGGGGTTGGCCCTGCACCCTGGGTTCAGCCTGTATCCTCACAGCACTCCCAGGTGCGTGGGGAAACTGAGGCACTCATGGAGAGGGGCTTGTTCAAGTAGCTCAATGAGTATTGAGTGCAGGGGACCGCTCAGGTGTGTCTCCAGCTCCGGGAGTTAGGAGCCTCAAGAGCCTGGGCACCACGTCCTTTAGGGCGCCTTCAGGTGTGGGATCAGGCCATGTCAGTGTTCTGTAGGCTCTAGGCCTGGGCAGCCAGGACACCAGCCGAGACGGCATGACCACAGAGCCTAAGTCCCTGCGTGCAGAGGGCACAGAAGTCAGGGGATCGCTAGGGGTACATGTGGGCCCCCGCGTCCCTGGGGTGGGTGCTCTGTCAGCAAGCCTTGGCTGCTAGGATGTGGATTAGTGGGAGGTCTCCAGAAAATCAAAACCACTAGGGTATGTGTCGAGGGAGAGAGATTTATCTTAGGAAATGGGGTCGTGTGGAGACGGGGCTGGCGACCTGCATGATGGGCTGGGGGCCAGGGGAGCTGGGCTGTAGCCTGAGTCTGTCCCAGCAATGTGAGTTACCTTCCATGCCACCTTTTTGTTCTGCTTAGACCTTCACCTCATTGGGTCAGACCCACCCACACTGGCCCGGCATCTACTTTACTTGGTCTGCAGATTTTTTTTTTTTTAAGATTATTTATTTATTCATGAGAGACACACAGAGAGAGAGACAGAGACACAGGCAGAGGGAGAAGCAGGCTCCATGCAGGGAGCCCGATGTGGGACTTGATTCTGGTCTCCAGGATCATGCTCTGGGCTGAAGGTGGCACTAAACCCCTGCGCCACCCGAGCTGCCCGGTCTGCAGATTTAATCCCCAGACTGAGCAGGGACCTCAGGCTTTACTCGGCAGACCATCACCTGATTGGATGAGGCCCACCTCCACTGGCAAAAGCAATCTGCTTGACCAAAGTGTGCTATCAGTGTCAATGTCATCTGAAAACACACCTTCATGTGACATCTAAGCTGGCGTAGGCACAAGTCACTGGGCACGGATACCTAGCCTACCCACATCTGCCTTCTGTATCCAGGGACTCACAGCAAAACGGTTTCCCCAGCAGCCCCCTGGCAGGTCCTCCTCCTGTTGACCCCAACTGCCTCAAATTGCATGTAAACCAATTAAGAGTGGGGTGAGGGAGGGGATTGGGGTACAGAAACCAGATAGGCTGCACCCTAGAGGCAATTCACAAGGGGGTGTCAGGACACTGGTTTGAGGAGGGTAAGTGAAAACAAAGTCCCTGGGAGCAGGCCAGGGGTGAGGGTGAGGGCGTGGGTGAGGGGGGCGTGGGTGAGGGGATGGGGTCCCTCATCTATGGGAGGGGGGGTAGTAGGTGACCAAGCAGGCTGCAGCATGGGTGAGGGGACAGGGTCCTTCGTCCATGGGGGATGCAGGTGACCCAGGCTGGCAGGGCCCATGTGATGGTGGTGGTCTCTGAGACCCCACCGTCAGATTTCCTATCCCACATGTGCCCTTCACTGTAACATGGACCCTCCCACAATGAGTCCGGTTGGCTCCTGGATCCCGCAGGCCTGTGGCCACTGTGGAAACAGTGTGACATCCAGGCTGGGGACCAGAGTCACCGGCCTGAGTCACGCTGAGAGGCCCCACCGCAGAGACCTGGACTCCCGGGACAACACCACCAGTAGCACACCTCAAGTACAGATGCATAGGCCTCCACCATATCCTGGGCTGGACGCCCCTGGGGACCCAGCGTCACTCGGTGTCACGGGCAGGCTGACACTGGGCCGGGGACACTGACAAGGGTTTGCCGGCCAGGAGGGCTTGTCCCAGCCTGCTCGGGGCCTGAGTGGTTTTGGAGGATGCTGGGTCCCCTAAGTCGAGTTGGAGGGGGCTCCTTGCTGGCAGCAGCTGACCCTCCCCTCAGGGAGTAATGAACCCCTCAGGTTCAGTAATGCTGTGCCCTGAGTGCCCGCCACCCGCCTGTGTTCTTTGTTCTCACCATCTGCGGGTTCGGCCATGACCCCCTGGCCTGCTGCCTGGCACTGAAGGGCACCCACGTGGCTTGAGCCTTGCTTCTCCCAGCAAGGCTGGAGCTGAGCCATGCATCCCTAGGGGGCAGTGGTACACACAAGCGCATGTACACACACCCGCACACATCACACATGCATACACACAGGCATGCACACTCACCTACATGTCCACACCACACTATATACACAACATAGGTGTGCATGTCCACATGCACCCACGGAGGCAGCTGTAAACAAAAGTTAGTTTTATTTTGCTTCCTTTGTCCTGGGGACTGTGTTTGAATTAGGGAGGGGCTGGGGGCAGAGAAGGGGCACAGAGGACCCCAGAACCCCTTCCCCAGGATGGCCTCCACCCAAGCCCCAACCACCACCTGCAGAAGGTGAGCCCACAGGTTTGTAGGACTTCAGTGTGTTCAGAGGAAGGGGCCACAGCACAGTACAAGAAGCCCCAGCAGCTGTGGTCTGTCTTATGGCGTCACCACTGTCCGGCAGGGAGCTGAGAGCATGCTCCCTTCCGAGGGAGGACCAGGGCCCAGCAGGGGCCAGGCCCATCCCAACCTTGGTTTCCCCTTCTGCTCAAAAAAGACCTAGGATTGCTTTCAGCCCTGCAGGAAACAGGAGGGGCGCAGGGGGGGAGGGAGCCCCATTGGTGCCACAGGGAGTAGGGACCTAGCACGGTGCCCCCAGTGCCCCCATCCCCCCCAGGTGCCCCTGGGTGACGCAGGTGGGCTGCTGCAGAGGAGAGGGTGAAGCCCCTGCCCGCTCAGCGGGGTCCCTCCTACTAGGGCAGCCAGCCAGGGGGCCAGGAGCGGCTAGGAGGGGGTGGGAGGAGTGTACCCCAACCACAGTCCCCTCCACCCTTCCGGGTTGGGGATCAGAGCTGGGGACCCTCGCAGGGTCCTCGTCCTACCCTGGACACAGGGGGGCTCGGGGAGGGGCCGGCAGGGACATGGAGCAGACAGCGTGTGCCCCCCTCCCGCCTCCCGAGAGTGAGGGTCCCCGCGGAGGTGGGGAGGAGAAGGAAGAAGACAGACGATACCCTGCGCCGCGCCGTGTCCGCTGCCCGCCCCGCCCCGCCCCGCCCCGCAGCCCCCGCGCCCCGTGAGGCGCCCGTCAGATCCACACCGTGGTCTTGCCCTCCCTACTGCTGGCACTGCCCTTCTCTGAGCCGGCCCGGGGCTTCCCGCCCGGCCCGGCCTGCCCGCCGCCCGCGCCCGTGCCCCCCGACGCGGCGCTGCCCGAGCCCGAGGCCGGGGCGCTGGGCCGCGTGGGGCCGCGGGCGGCAGCGAGGAGGCCGGGGCCCGGCGGGCTGTCGCGTTCCCCCAGCGCGCGGCCGTCCCGCAGCGCCCGCAGCGCCAGGCTGGCCATGTCAGGCTCGTGGGGGCGCGCGCGCTCGGCCGCGCGCACCACCAGGCTGTAGTCGGGCGGGCAGGCCAGGCCGGGGGGCGGCGGGCAGGGCGGCGGGCGGGGCGCGGGCCCCGGGGCGGCGGGCGCGGGGCGGCGGGCGCGCACGGCGTCCTGCGCGCTGCCCAGGCCCAGGTGCGCCATCTCGCACAGGTTGAGCAGCAGGCAGAGGCAGCTGACCACGTACATGACCAGCAGGAACACGGTCTTCTCCGTGGGCCGCGACACGAAGCAGTCCACCACGTGCGGGCAGGGCCGGCGGCCGCAGGCGAAGAACGGCCGCACCTCGAAGCCGTACAGCAGGTACTGGCCCACCAGGAAGGCCACCTCGAAGGCGGCCCGCGCCACCAACTGGGCCACGTACACGCGCATCAGGCCCTCGCGCTGGATGCGCCTCCGCCCGTCGTGCTGCCCGGCTGGGCCCGCCACCCCCGCCGCCTTGTCCAGGCCCGCGCTCTTGGCCGCCAACGCGTCCTCGGCTTCCGCGTCGTCGTCGCCCGGGCCGTCGGCCGCCCCCGACTCCTCCTCGTCGTCGCCCAGGCCCAGCATGGGCTCCTCCTCGCTCAGGCCGGCGGGCTCGGGCCACCCGGGGTGCGGCGGGGGTGGAAGCGGCAGGGGCGCGCGGGGCGGCCGGCGGCCGGGGGCCCCCGGGGGCGGGCGGCGTCGGGGCGCGCGGCGGCGCTCCTCCTCCGAGGCGCGGGCCAGGCGGTGCACCGCGTAGCCCAGGTACATAACGGACGGCGTGGAGATCACCACGATCTGGAAGACCCAGAAGCGCACGTGCGACAGGGGCGCGAAGGCGTCGTAGCAGACGTTGTCGCAGCCTGGCTGCCGCGTGTTGCACGTGAATTTGGTCTGCTCGTCCGAGTAGATGGACTCCCCGCCCACGGCTGTGAGCACGATGCGGAACACCACCAGCACGGTGAGCCACACCTTGCCCACGAACGTCGAGTGGTTGTGGATCTCCTCCAGCAGCCGCGTCAGGAAGCTCCAGCTCATGTTGGTCATAGGGGCGGGGGCGCGGGACCTGCAGGGGCGGCAGGGGGAGCTCAGCCTGGGGCGGGGCGGGTCAGAGGGTGGGGTGGGGTGGGCGGGTGGTGAACCAGCGGATCTAAGGGGCACTCCCGGGGCGCGGAGGGGGTGGGACAAGACCAGCGGGGAGCGGAGGGGGAGCTCAACCGGGGCAGGGGACGGGACCAGCTGCCGAAGGGGCACCCGGGGTGGGGAGGGGAGAAAGGACCAGCGGACTCAAGGAGCACTCCTGGGTGGGGTGGGGAGGTTAGGACCAGAGGACCGGAGGAGCACTCCTGGAGCAGGAGTCATGGAGCACTGGGGGGGCGGGGCGCATCTCAGCGCCTGGAGCCAGGGACCCTGCCTGAGGAAGGGGGGTGTCTTGCCACCCTCCAGGAGCTCCATGCCCACCCTGGGTCCTGACCTCGCCCTGAGGAGGGATACCCCTGCCTCACCCCAAGACCCCTCCCACATCCCAGCGGCCTGCAGCTGCTCCAGCACCCTGTCTACCCTCCCACCAAAGCCTGGCCCCTGGCAAACTGTGCCCCACCCCCAGCTCTGGGGACCCAGCCCAGACCCTGAGAGCCCATGGGAGACCAAGGCCAGCCCCCTCAGGCAGTGTGCAGGTCAGTGGAAAGTGTCTCATGCAGCCCGGTCCCCACCATCCAGCCCCCAACCCAGCCCCTTCCAACCCCAGGCCCCCTAGCAGCACGCCGTGCCCCGCTTTCCACTCCACAACTGCGTGGGGCCTTGGCTTCCTCCCTCTGCACGAAGGACCCCCCACCTTCATGCCTCCCTGAAGGCACCTGCGGGGTCCCCACGCTGCTGCCCAAGCCTTGGGGCTGCTTCCCCTCCTGTCCCAACACCACCACCCTGTCCACCCTATGGCCGCATAGCAGGACATCCCCACTGGGAAGCCAAGGGAGGCCCGACATCCGTCCAGGACAGGGACTGGTCCAGCAAGACACAGGGACCTTAGGGCATCTGTGACCCTTGGAGACAGCCACAGGGCCACCCGCCACGTCCCAGATGGGAGGCCCTTGTGGATGAGCTGCCCTGGAGACAGACGCTGCTGTTCATCTTTCTCTGCCTCCAGGAAGGGGACAGGGGCGTCAGCCTCCCAACGCCCACCCTCCCAACTTGGTGACCAAGGCCAGTACCTGCGTCGGGGGGAGTTTGGGGACAGGAGACCCCTGACGTCGGGTGCGTCTGCCCCCTCCCTCTGCGTGGGAGGCAGCGTGGGCAGGTGTGGAATGGAGCTGCAGAGGCAGCAGGGGCTGGGGGAAGCTCGGCTTTATGCAGCTGGAGCCTCTCCCCTTGGGTGGGGGCAGGAAGAGGGGGCAGCTGGGGTTCCTGGGGAAATGACCCTTCTTCCTCACATCTGTGTGCAGTGCCCCTCAGAGCCACACATGCACAAGCCCTTCTCAGATGCATACATGCGTATGGTTGCACATGTGAACCCCCACCTGCATGCTCATGTGTGCACACGCTCACAATCAGATGCGCAGATGTCTATTTGGGTATTTGGGTGCACACGGGACACACATGCTCCTGTCTGCACACATTTACAAGCAAATGCACTGGCACATGTGCAAGCTCTCGGACACACGTGTGCACACTTACACCCTGGTGCACAGGTGCACACCCCCGGGGAACACAGACACACATGCACCGCCCCGCCCACACAGGGCTGCGCACCCAGAGCCCCAACTCCCTCCCTGGAGTGACTCTGACCCCCTGCACCCCCAGACTGGCTGCTCTTCCTTCCGGGGTTCTAAGCACAGGTCTCCCGCGACCTGTGCCTGCCCCAACCTGACAGCCCCACCTCCGCAGAAACCCAGAAAAGGGGGAGGCATGGGGGGAGGGGGGCCCCCACCTCTTCTCTTCCTCCCAGGACTGGGGCCCCAGGAGGAGCAGAGAGGAAGAGTCGTTGGTGTGTGCTCTAGGCGTGCATGGTAGCCTTGCTGTAGGCCCACCAGTCCCCGGGGTTCCCTGTCCCCACAGGCCCCTGGCCAGCTCCAGGTGTGCGCTGTGCAGCCCGTTCCGAGGTGTGAGGGTCAGAGCCCTGTAGGTGACACAGCCCATCAGGTCTGGCCCTGCAGGCCCCTCAGTCTGGGGGCGGGGGGGGGGAGGGTGCCATCTGGGGAGCAGGAGGCTCTCCCCGAGGTCTCCCAGCACAGTGGGGACTCAAGTTGCCTTTGGGTGGGGGGCAGAGGCTCACAGGTGGCAGCACCACTACTCTTCAGACGAGGGTCAGTGCCCAGTGTGTGCAGGGCCTGGGTCGCACCTGCCTGACGCCATCGCTGCAGTAGCCAGGAGGCTGCACTGACTGGCTGTGCCTGGAGGAGCCCAGGCCTGGCATCAGGACCACGCAGGATGGGGGTCTAGATCCAGGCTTCCGCCGCCCCCCACCCCATGCCTCATGACACACGCGGGTGCTGGCAGGAAGGGGACCCCAGCCCTTAGCCGCCCCCTGTGACCTGGACCGCCCTCTGCCCGGCTCCCCGCACCCCGGAGGCACACTGCCAACTCCCGCTCCCAGGGCTCCCAAGAGTCACAGCCAAGCACCAGCCACCCAGGTAAGCGACCCCAGGTCGAGCCCACGGCTGCAGGGCCTGTGCTCTGCCCCGGCAGGTACACGTACACACACACACACACACACACACACACACACACACACACACACGCGCTCCTGCCCTCCTGGACATGCCCACATGCACTCCTGCCCAGGTCCTCGCCCTGCTCACACCTTGCACATGCCCTACCCCGCACACACTCGTGCCAGTCAACATCCTGCATTCCGTGCCCTGGCTCACACCCTGCACGCTGCCCCCACACCCACCCCTCCACGCGGCACACGTCCCGCCCGCGGCCACGCCCCCATGTGTCCAGGCCCGCCCACACTCCATGCCCCGCCCCTCCTGCCAGGGGGCGGGGACCGCAGCGCTGCCCTCACCGGCCTGGGGCGGGGGAGGGGAGGGTTTCTCACTACTGGACCCGTTGGGGGAGGGGCGGGGAGTCGTGAGTTAGCGTGGGACACCTAGGTCTGCCCCCGTGTTCAGCTGCCCACGACACGATGACTCCCCGGGGACTGACACGGGGACGTGTGTGTAGGGAGGTTTGTACACACGCCTAGTCCCTTGCCTGGTAGCTCACAGGGTGGCAGCAATGGACACACGCACCATGGTCCTCCTCGGCGAAGAGCCCTGCATTTGTGGACATGTGGTGGGTGTCAGACATGTGCCAGAGCATGTGCCTGTGCCCGAGATCGAGGAAGTGGAACGGCACACACACGCAGACATGGGCTCTCATGCACACCCGGGCGGACATACACTCATGCACCTGTGTGCAGACACGCAGGCTCTCATGGACTCGTGGATCGACATGGGTTCTCATGCACACGTGTGCCGACACAGGCTCTCAGGCACATGGGCTCTCGTGCACATGTGTGCGGGCACACAGGCTTTCATGCGCACATGCGCACACGTGTGCCCACACACATGCACCCACACAGGCAAGCACATGCACACATCCATGCATGCACGTACACACGTCCTTACACTGCGAGGGTCGCGTCTCTGGATAGCAGGAGTAAGGAGTGGTGCAGCCTGGGTTCTGGAGTCCCCCCAGGCATAAAGTAGAGGTGAGTGGATTCTGATAGAAACTATTATGTGGATGAAAGTAGAAGGAAAGGGAATTCCAAAGTTTCTGCAGCCCCCTCCCCTAGCTCCCGTCCTGAGGGCCAGCACACCAGGAGGGACAATGCAAGCTGGCACAAATCCCCACCCAAGTGAGAAGCCGGCTTGGGGACCAGGTCAGGTTGCCCCTGTGCAGAGACAGTCATCAGGGCACCGGGGTCAGCAGGGGCCAAGTGGTGAGAGATTCTCCCACAAGTACCTGACTTTCCCGGGGACTGGGGTGTCAACATGGACAAAGTGAGGAAACAGAGCACCCGAGGCCCACAGGCACTCTCTGGGGATGACTCGATGCCCCCTGAGACCCTGGCACCCCAGAGTAGCTGTGAGGATGAATGCTCTGTGCCCTGCTGGACTCCACAACGGGAGGGCCAGGGGACAGTGTGAGAAGGCAGGGACCTGCCCCCAGGGGCGCTGGGGTACCGCCTGGCCCCCTGCTACCAGATAGGTTCTGGGAGGAGGCTGCAGGCAGGGGACCAGGCCTGGCTGCCAGAGGACCCTGACCTGGAGGAGGGGGATGCGGGGGAGCCGACCTGAGGCCCAGGGTGGGGGCACACAGGGGGAGGAGGGTCTGTTTAGATGGCATGTCACCCAGAGCTGGGTCAGGGGTGGGGTTGTGGTGGTGATGGTGGGGTGGTAGTGTCACTTCAGGGATGCGGGAGGGGCCATTGTGGGGCTGGGGGCCAGCGGGTCACCCGGGGGGGGGGGTAGGGGGTGGGTTCAGGCAGAACCAGGCCACCCCTATGCACCCCCCCACCTCAGTGGCCTCCGTGGAGGAGGAAGCTCTTTGCACCCCTGAACCTGAACAAGCCTGGGAGGGCAGGGGGGCACATGGGGGGCTGAAACTGGGCCTGCCCAGCTGCTTCCTTCCCATCCCAGCCCTGCTTCCTCCCAGGAGCCCCTCCAGGCAGGGAGGGGCTTCCTCCCTGTGAGGCGGGGCTGTGGGCAGGGCCCCCAGAACCCAGAACGCTCAGCCCACCCAGAAGGCTTCCGCTCCCCCTAGAATGCTTGCCCCCAGAGAACGCTCAGCTCCTCTGCAGTGTCCCCCCACCCCCCAGAGCCAGGTTCCTCCCCTTTCTAACTCATAAGCACCCTGAGGTCAGCTTGGCCTGGCCTCAGGACTCACCCACGGACCCCCTTGTCTGCTAGGGGTTGCTCCTTGGGGTTCCCCTCTGGGTCTCTGCCCCTGGACCCCCATCCTGGCCGCCCCAGTCAGGTTCCACCTGCACCATCCAATCCCACGGTGTGGACTCCAGGCTGCTTGGGGGGGAGGGGCAGGGAATGCACATCCACCCACCCCTGCAGCAGCCAGCACTCAGCGTGCTGAGGACCAGCCCCCAGGCTTCCGGCCCTCACAGCCTCCCTCCCTCCCCCTCCACACCCCCCCACTCCCCCACCAGCCTCCCCTCTGGCAGCCTCACTCCCCCTCCACACCCCTAGGCGCCCCCCTCTGCAGACTCCCTCCCCTTCCATATCCCCAGGCTCCCTGTCCCCTCTTCAGCCTCCCTCCTTCACCCCCCCTTCGCCTTACCTCTACAGCCTCCCTCCTCCTCCACACCCCCAGGCTCCCCTTCCCCTCTACAGCTCCCACTAGGCTCCCCTTTCATGCCCCCTCCTGCTCCTGGCTCATCTGCAGGTCCTGCCCAAGGGGTTCACAGGTCCCCATCCTCAAGGTTCTTGGGCTGGCCTGGTGCATGTGCAGACTGTGGCACTGACACACGGGGCAGGCATGCATGCACACTCCCCTACTCCCCTATTGAGCCCCTTCCCCCAGGCCCTTGGTGTGTTCCACCCCTACCACACCTGTGCTCAGCAGAGGCAGATGCACCTGGGAAGCTGGCTGGACGAGTACCCGCCAAGGACCCAGGGTTCCCTCTCTGTCCACTCCCACTGCAACCCTGATGTGAGGGTGGTCCTCCCACGGGGAGCCCTGGGGCCCCGGGTGTGGGGGAGGGCTGGGACCTGGGAGAGCACCCTGTGGGGCCCTCCAGCCCTGCCCAGGCCCTGCTGGCAAGGCCTGGAGGCTGCATCCACCCCCCTTCTAGCAGGAAGGGGACACCCCACCGGACTCCGCACATCCTCGGCACCCGCTCCAGCCCACCTGGTACAGATCCCCTGCCCCACAGCAGAGCCTGGCCATCCGCCCTTTCCCCATTCCTGCCTGGGTTGCCCAGACAACTCACTCACGACATCTGGCACACTGGGGGCCGCTCCTGGGGAACAGGCTCAGGTCTGCTCTCGGTGACCCTAGGGCCCAGACCTGAGGAACTTGAGTCTACCAGGCGCCTGGAAGGAACCTCAGGCCGGGTCAGAAGCAGGGTGTGGGGCCGGCAGGTGTGCCCACCCCAGTTCCTCCGCCCATGTGTACAGGGAAGCCTCCGCAGCCTCCTACCAGGCCCGATGGGTCTGAAGTCCAGCCTCTGGACATGCTGCAGCTGCCTGGCCAGCAGGAGCTGGCTGGACAACGCAGCCTGAGAAGTCCCAGCTGCCGGGGAAGGTCCCAGGCGCATCCCCTCCCTTCCTGCTCACCAGCTGGCCTGAGTAGGGCCCCCTCCCCCATCATCACACTTTGTCCCCCCACATCAGGGAGGGGGGCCTTGGTCTGGCCACGCTAAGTACCTGTGGTCCCCTTGGGGCAGCCACTGCAGGAGGGGGATGCCTGGGCCAAGACCCTGTGCCCACAGAGAGGTCGCATGACGCTCATCTCCAAGTCGATGCCCACACCTGGTCCCCTGGACAGGGCCCTACCTTCTCCAGGACAGGAAGTGGGAGTCCCTGAGCCCTTCCACCTGCCAGCCGGCTGGACACTGGCCCTTCAGGGTGTATGCCTGGCTGAGTCCTGGGCCTGACCCAGGGCCACCTCTCACCACCAAGCACAATGCGGGGGGAGGGCCTTCAAGGGCTCCATTGTTCCCCCCAAGGCCTAGGGTGTGAATTCTCGATTGTCCCGGGCTGGACAGGGCCCAGAGAAGGGGCGTCCCCTACGGCCCCCTCCCTCCCCTTCCCTCATGTCAGGCTGGCCCCGCCTCACCTGCCTCAGGCCTGGGCATGGGGCGGCCCAGGAACCCTCGCATCCAGGCCAGGCTCCCACCTACCCTCCTGGTGCATCTGCACTTTGGGACAGGGTCCACCCTCCCCGTCTGGCTTCTGCCTGGGTCCCAAGAGCACAGCCCAGGCGTAGCACATCTCCCGCCCTCCACAGCACCCTGGCTCCAGGTATCTCCCTGGACCCCTGAGTCCCATGTCCCCCCTGGAGCCCAGCACTGGACTGGGATGGGCCGCAGGACGCAGGGTTCGGCCTCCCTCCTGGGGCAGCAGTGCTGTCCCTCAGCCACCACAGCTCAGCTCAGGGACCCTGAGGACAAAGGGCTCAGGCAGGGCGAGCTCCGTGCCCTCCCCACAGCCTAAGGGCACCTCCACAGGGCAGCAGGAGAGGCCAGCAGACCCGTCTGCTCCTGCCAGGGCCCCATACCCACTGGGGCCTCGGGCAAGAAGCAGCCCAGCTGCAGGGGATGTACCCAACACCTGATGGGGGGGCAGCTGCTGGGGCACAGGAAGTCGGGCTGGCAGCCCAGAGCAGCAGGTGCTGCGCAGCACATGCGGCTGGTCAGGGATGGGCTGCCAGGAGTGGGGGTGCACGTGTACAGCCCGTCCCCAAATCCCCGCCCAAAGGGCAATCCACGGGCTCACAGACACCGTAACCCAGCAGTTTTTTATTGGAGGCCACCCCAGCTCCCAGGAGATGGGGAGAGGCCAGGGTCCACCAGCCGTGGCAGCCTGAGCAGGAGAGGCGAGCAGCACCCCCACCAGGGAGGACACCACTGGCATTTCTTCTCAGGAGCAGCTGGTTCTCTGAGCCTTCTTGATTTCCTGCCACGGAGAGGAGGAGGGTTGGGGTCAGGGTCGGCTGACAGGCCACGTAGCCTCTACCAGCCCTCGGGCCCGTAAGCACAACAGGCCTAAGTGCCCCCTGAGAGCCCACCTCTGATAGCGCCTCCTCCAGGGCCCGATAAGCCTTCTCCAGATTGTCGTTGATGATGACCAGGTCAAACAGGCCCTGCTCCTTGCCTGTGGGGTGTGTATGGGGGGGAAGGACACAGGATGGCATGGGCCCTCCTCCCCAGGGACTCCCGTGCTGCATGAGGAGCCTGGGGGGGGGGGGACGCTGGTGCCCACACTCACTGCTCTCCATGTCCACCTGGGCGGCAGCCAGCCGCTTGGCCAGGCTCTCCTCTGTCTCTGTGTTGCGCTGGCGCAGCCGCTGCTCCTGAAACATGTGGGAGGGTCAGAGCCTCTGTGGTCACCTGCTGCTCCCGCTCCTGCCCTGGGGCTCCAGCCTCACCCCACCCCCACCAGGACATCCAGTGAGGGTGGCTGCACGAAGACGTAGATGGGCCGCAGATCAGTCTTCTTAATGTTACGCACGCCTTGCAGGTCCACGTCTAGCACGCATATGCGGTTCATGGCCTGCACGGCCCGCACGGCTGCTTTGCTGCAGGAATAGACAGACAGGGATGGCTCAGGGGGCTTCCTGTGGCCTCGAAGAGCCTGAGCAGAACCATCGCTGCCCATGCCCTGGGCGTGGACCTGGCCGGGGCGAGCATGGGAACCTACCCGGATCCCAGCACCTCCTCCAGCTCTCTGGAAGCACCTGTGTGCTGGGCCCTCTGTGGGGCTGAGGGTGCCTGTGGGACAAGGCACAGGGTCCTGGCTGTCACCACACAGCCCAAGGCCCCAGGGACTCCCTCTGGGGGCCCACCAGCATTCCCAGCTGTGCCTAGGGTGTAGCGAGATGGGTCTTGCAGGGGCTCAGGGACAGGCTGCACATGGAGGCCTGCCTGCTTGCCCCTGACGTGGCTCTGGGCCTGGAGCTCTAGGCATCCCAGCCAGATGGGAGGTGCTAGCAAAGACCCTACTGTGGGTTATGAGGAGGGAAGGGGAGCCCAGCATAGCCCAGGCCCCTAGGGGACCCAGATGCCTGGAGTCCCCGCTGCGCACGGGTCTGGGGGGGCCCTTGGCTTCCAGGGGCTTGGCCAGGTGGATGGAGGCGGCCTGGAGAGCCCCAGTGCTGTCCCATCCTGAGTGCTGGCGGGGTGGGTACTGACCCCAACTGCCCCAAGAACCCACAGAGCACCCCCTGCCTAGGTCCAGCCAAAGGGAGAGCCCCTGGGAGGGAGAGGACACCGGCAGTGGCCCACCTGGTCCCATACAGGTTCCCCGAGAACTCGGCGTGCTCGATGAAGTCGCCTGCAGCGATGTCCCGCTGCATCACCTCCCTGGTGACGAAGTAGTAATCTGCAGGGAAGGGCCCACTGAGCCACAGCGGCTGAGCCCCCAGGGCCCTCAGGGAAGGGACCCATCTGGCTCACAGGGGGGTTGCACTGGCCATCAAGCAGGGAGCATACGTGCACACAGCATGTGGTTACACGCCCCTGCTCAGGGAGCCTGGAAACCATGGGCTCCCTGGGGGAGGCTCCTGGGGGATGGGGGGGGGGCCAGTCAGCATGGGCAGGGGAGGTGGAAGGGACTTCCTGGGTCCTGCTACCACCACAGAGACCCTCGTGGTGCATGGAGAATGGCCCACAAGCCAAGGGAAGGGCCTGTGGAGATCTCCACAGGGCGTCGGGGCCCCCACCCCGTCTGGACACCAATGCCCCAAGTCCGCCTGCCTTGCAGAAGGACCCGAGGACCCAGCTCACCTTTGCCATTCTCTTCTCCAGGCCGCGGGTCCCTTGTGGTGTCTAGGAACGAGCACCCAGGATCCATGTGGGCCCAGGGTCCCTATACTCCATCCATGGTCCTCCCCACAGGGCCTGGCTCAGCCTCCGTGTGTGGGTGTACGGGGTCAGGATCAGGGTAGCAGTGTGGGAACCCTCCCCGTGGGTGGGTGTGGGAGCTCAGGGTCAGGGTCAGCAATGCGGGCCCCCCCCTGTGGGTGGGTGTGGGGGCTCAGGGTCAGGGTCAGCAGTGCGGACACTCTCCCTGTGGGTAGGTGTGAGGGGGTCAGGGTCAGGTCAGCAGGGGGCCCAGCCCCGCATCCCCCCTTCAGGCTCCCCGAGCCAGAGCCTCACGGGACACGCTGAAGCCAAAGATGCTGCCGTGCTCCTGCAGCAGTCTCTTGAGCAGGGTGCTCTTCCCTGCCCCTGACGGTCCACTCAGGACAACAGGCCTTGGTCCCGACATCCCTGCGGGTAAGGGGAGTGGTGTCAGCAAGGCCGGAGGGACGCGCCCCCCTCCCCGCCCCCCGCATGCGGACATGTGAACAACCCCACGGCTGGGGCAGAGCTGCAGACCCTGGACTTAGAGCCCACCTGTGGTTTCCCTCCCCATCCACAGCAGGTGCCCTGTGCCCCCAGCACCCCGCCCCACAGCCTCAGACCCATCTGTGAAACCCAAAGCCTGGTCTGAACAATTCCACCGGGCCTAGCCGGAGGGACCACAGCATCCTAACTGCTCTGATGTGGGGCCCCGGGAAGCTGGCAGGTGGATAGTTGCCCCCACCCCCACCCCACACGGGAGGAGGGGAGCTCTGCACCCACCCGACCACCCCAGGCTGGACCCACCTCCGGGTGGGCTGCAGCCTCCTCACAGCCTTGGCTCCCTGAAGACCTGGCAGGGGTGGTAACCCGGCCCACGCCCCACCCTCCGGGCACTAATCCCTCCCAAGGCAGCTGGCCCCACCCCCCCAGGACAGAGGGAAGAGGCAGCTCCCCCCCACCCAGGCACGCGGTGCCACATGTGAGGAGGGCCAGGCACAGCCTGCCATAGGGAGGCCGGGAGGGTGTGTGGGGAGCTGGCACCGCCCCCTCCTGGCAGGTTCCTGTCCAGGGTCCCCAAGGGCAGGGCCAGATTCCCTGGGGCTGCCCAGTGCTCCGGCCGAGGGCTGCCACAGGGCCACTGGCTTTCCTAATCCTTGATGTAGGCCAACACGGTAATCTGGCTCAAGGCGGCTATTCTGAGACCACCCCGCCACACACACTGCCCCGGGAGGACACCACCCCAGGAGGATGGAGCAGGAGGGATCCCCTGCTGAGCACACACGAGCAGATTGAGGCCGCACATGTGAGCGTCACCTCCAGTGACACCTCACCTTACCAGGTGTCCTGCTCAATGACATGTCTTTCAACTTAGCCACAACCCCACTGGACTCCCCACTCTGTCTTGGAGTCCAGGCTCTCCTGTCCAAGGCCCAGGGTCACTGCCGCTGCCCCCTGCTGGTGGGGTCACCCCAGCTCTGTGGGACTTCCCAGGTGCTAGGGATGGGGCGAGCCAAGTGGGGCTGCAGGCTGGGGTGTGGAGCGTGGAAAGAAGGCTTGGCTCTGTCCACCACGTGCCTGTCTGCCCGCCCACCCCACCCCAATATGGACATGCACATGCACCCCACCTTCCTGCCTGCAGGGCTGAGCAGGTCTCCCTGGGCCCTGCTGTCCTGATGGTAGTGCAGGGGGACACCCGCCCAGTGGTGATCACAGCGCCACTCCCTCAATCCAGCAGACGTAGCTGGGCACCTTGGGACCCAACTGGGAGCACCCACGTCCCGGGGCAGAAGAACATAAAGGGGCTCCCCACCAAGGATGGGAGGACTGGCACCCCCACGCCCTTAGCACTGTGTAGCTCCTGCTCCCCAACCCACAGGCAGCTCTGGCTACTGCAGACAGCAAACCTACCAGGAAAGACATGTCTTCCATCAGGGCCCCACAGTGCACATGAAGTCCCAGCGCCTGCTGCCCTCACAGGTCATGCCACTCAGGTCTTACTGGCTCCTGACCTGACCCCGGGGCCCTCCGGTCTGTCCCAGGAGGCTGTGTGCCCCAGAGCCCCGCCAGTGCAGGTCACTCCCACCTGAGCAGACTGCAGTGACAGGTGTGCTCAAGATCCACCAGGGCAAAGGCCGACCCCCCCCCCCCCCCCCCCGCAGCTCGGAGGCAATGGCGCACCCTGCCGGCCTTCTCCCAGTATCCTCCTGCCTGCCCCCCCCCCCCCTCCCCGCTGGCCCTCAAACCCAGGCTCCAGACCTCCTCCTGCCCTCCCTCAAGTGCAGAAATCCTGATACGGTGGGTAGGCACAGAAGCTTGGCCCTGCCAAGGGCACTGAGTGGGTCCTCATGTGAGGCCCACAGGGCCGAGTTCCCTCCCTGCACCCAAGGCTGACTCCACCCATCACAAGCACAGGCTCACCTGACCAAACCAGGGCAGCCTGGCCTGGCACCCAGGGCCACGTAGGCACAGTGCTGAGCAAAGTCACCAGCATGGGATGGCACTACAGGCCCTGGCTGTGCTCCAGGGTGCCCTCTCATAGTGGACCTGGCCAAAACGGCTGGTCATGGCTGTCCCTGAGACAGGCCATGTGAGGACACATCCCAACTAAGCGACCTCACACAAGCCTGTCTTGAGAGGGGACGCTCAGAAAGCAGTAGACACCTTTTTTCTCACTTGCTCTGCCCACTTCCTTGAAAGAAAGCCAGGCCCTCTGAAACTGTGGACGGCTCCAGGGCAGGGCTGGGAGGCCCGAGGCACCAGAGCTACAGAGCAGGAAGGCGCCCAGACCCTCAGAGGGGACACCCAGCCCCCACGCGCAGGCAGGGTGGGGGCAGAGGTGGCGGCCCCCACACCTGTGCTCCCAGTAGGTCACCCTCACTCCTGCACATTTCCTCTGGACAGGGGGTTGACCGCTTCCACCCCCAATCCTATCACAGTGCCCCCTCTCTCAGCTACACCCAACACACTACAGAAAACAGACACAAGCTGCTTAGACTGAACTGTGCCCGCAAACAAACATGCGGCAGGTGATAACCCCCAAGACTGCTAATCCAGCCACAGGGCAAGGGCTCGGTCGTGTTCCCAGAACACCCACCCTGGTCAGCACAAGCAGACCGCACCTCTGCAGGCACAGCAGGGACCTGGGCTGTGGGTGGCCCTGAGGAGGGCTGGAGTGCCACTCTTACCAGAAAAGGGCAGCAGAGGGGTGTTCAGCTGTGGGTGCAAAGTCCGGAGACGGAAGCACCCCAGGCCCCCTTGTGGATGAAGGACAAAGCATGCCCAGTCAGGGTCCAGAAGATCTCAGGGTGACAGAACAGTCTGGGAAGGTCCACATTTGGGGACTCAGTAGAAAACCATGCCCGCCCCCCCCCCCACTGGCTATTAACTCCTCCCCTTCCTTCTGGCGGGAAAGAACCAGTGACAGCTGGGAAGGCGGCAGGCCCCCGCCCCGCACCCCAGGCCAGCTCATGGACAGCTGAGCTCACCCCCCCCCGCTCCCAAAGCCCCGTATAATCACACCAACCACCCGTATCCAACAAGCCTGACTCCTGTCTGTGCTCCTGGGACAGGCTGAAAGACGCCCAGGAGCCAGATGCGCCGCAGGCTAGCCGAGGGGGACGGAGTGGGGCCGGATCCGGAACGCGGCCCCACCGCCTGGACGCGAGGGGCGGAGCAGCCAGCTTCACCCGCGCACGCTCCCCAACCCCCGGACGCCCCGGCAGAGCGCACCCTTGCGTGGCCGTGCGCCCGAGGCCGGCAGCGGGCCTGCCCCACTCTGGTCCAGCCTCCGTCCCCGAGTTCGGGAACACGCGCCGCTCAGGACAGGGGCGGCCACACCGAGCGGTCCGACGCCCGCCCGCTCTGCCCCTGCGCTCGCTCCCCGCACGGTCCGCAGAGGCGTGGGCGCGGCGCCCCGGCCGGAAGCGCCCCCTCCGACCCCCGGAAAGACCCTTCCGACCCTGGGAGCAGCTCCGGTTCTCGCTACGACTCCCGCGCAGACCCGCGCGCTCCGGACAGCCTCGGAGCGCCGCCCGCCCGCCCCTCGGCTCCGCTTCCGTCCACGGAGGAACGCGCTGACCCGCTCGCGCACTCCGAGCCCCGGCGCCAGCCACTCACCGTCCGAGGGGGCCCGGCCCAGGGCGGCCGCCGCCAGCCCGGCCAGCGGGCGTCGCAGCATGAGGGGCGCCGCCGCCGCCCGCGGGGCTACGTCACAGCACCGCGCCAGCACGCCTCCCCCGAAGGGCTAACGTCACAGCCCGGCGCCGGCCTCGCCCGCCCCTCAGGGTTGCGTCAGCACCGTGCGACGCCGCGAGGGCTGAGGGCGGAGGGCGGAGGACGGAGGACGGAGGACGGAGGACGGAGGTAGGCGGTAGGCGAGGTGGCCCCGAGCTGCGGGACGGGGTCAGGTCGGTGCCGGGAAGGGCGCTCCCGACGGGTGCTCCGGGCCTCGCCGCCGGCGCTCGAGGGCGGCGGCGTCGGGAGTAGCCCGGCAGCCCGTCTTCCCGAGGCGCGGGGAGGGCTGCCCACGCTCCCGGGGGCCGAGGCACGCTCGCCGTCGCGGCCAGAAGGGCTCTGTTGCCGGGGTCGGAAGCGCGGCTTGCGGTCGCGGACACTGGCACGGACGCCCCGGAACCCTGCGCGCGGGAGGAGCGGCCGTGCGTCCCCGGTGTCCCGGTCCGCACGCTGCTGTTCGCCGGGAATCGCCGCCGTCCCGCCGACCCCCCTCCCCGCCGCTGACCTCCCGTCCCGCCGACCCCCCTCCCCGCCGCTGACCTCCCGTCCCGCCGACCCCCCTCCCCGCCGCTGACCTCCCGTCCCGCTCACCTCTCCCGCCGCTGACCTCCCGTCCCGCTCACCTCTCCCGCCGCTGTCCTCCCGTCCCGCTGACCCCTCCCGCCGCTGACCTCGCGTCCCGCTGATCCCTCCCCGCCGCTGACCTCCCGTCCCGCCGACCCCCCTCCCCGCCGCTGTCCTCCCGTCCCGCTGATCCCTCCCCGCCGCTGTCCTCCCGTCCCGCTGATCCCTCCCCGCCGCTGTCCTCCCGTCCCGCTGATCCTTCCCCGCCGCTGACCTCCCGTCCCGGCGACCCCGCTCCCCGCCGCTGACCTCCCGTCCCGCCGACCCCCCTCCCCGCCGCTGACCTCCCGTCCCGCCGACCCCCCTCCCCGCCGCTGACCTCCCGTCCCGCTGACCCCTCCCGCCGCTTACCTCGCGTCCCGCTGATCCCTCCCCGCCGCTGACCTCCCGTCCCGCCGACCCCCCTCCCCGCCGCTGTCCTCCCGTCCCGCTGATCCCTCCCCGCCGCTGTCCTCCCGTCCCGCTGATCCCTCCCCGCCGCTGACCTCCCGTCCCGGCGACCCCGCTCCCCGCCGCTGACCTCCCGTCCCGCCGAACCCCCCTCCCCGCCGCTGACCTCCCGTCCCGCTCACCCCTCCCGCCGCTGTCCTCCCGTCCCGCTGACCCCTCCCGCCGCTGACCTCCCGTCCCGCCGACCCCCCTCCCCGCCGCTGGCCTCCCGTTCCGTTGACCCCTCCCGCCGCTTACCTCCCGTCCCGCTGATCCCTCCCCGCCGCTGTCCCCCCCGTCCCGCGCTGACCCCTCCCCGCCGCTGACCCCTCCCGTCCGCTGACCCCTCCCGTCCGCTGACCCCTCCCGCCGCTGATCCCTCCCGTCCGCTGATCCCTCCCCGCCGCTGACCTCCCGTCCCGCTGATCCCCTCTCCGCGCTCAGGACCGCTTCCCGGCTTCTGGCGCTCAGAGACCGTCCACAGCTTAGTCTAACAGCGAGTGTGTGTGTGTGTGGGCGGGGGCAGCCTGACAGGTCACGGGGAGGACAGAGACCTGGAGGGGATGCCTCTGTGGGAGACAACATGTGTCCGAGCTCTCCCTGGGGCTAGGTGAAGGTTAATGAGGTGGGAAACCCTATTTTATTCCCTCCCCAGTCCTCAGGTGCCACAGGGGCCCTCAGGAGGAATGGCCGCCAGGGGCAACCTGCTTGGGTAAGTGGGGACTTGGGGCCCCTTGGCCTTCTGTCTGGGTGCTAAAGGGGTGGTCAGCACCTTGCTCTGGAGCAGGCAGGGGGGTGTGGATGGCTGCCCTGGCAGGGGTTGAGGGAGGCAGCAGGAAACACACCGTCACCGTGACTTTCCTGTTCAGATCTGCAGCCCAGCCTGGCTCTGGGTCCGTGGAGAGGGCCATGCCTGCCTGCTGTTCCCACTGAAACCACTTGGTCTCCCCCACAGGACAAGTGTGGCCTGAGGATGGTTTTTATGAGGACAGAAGCAGAGCCAGTCTCTAGTTGGCTCTGTGGATATGGGGCGGAGGGGGCTCCTGACACCGCCACCAGGGTGAAAGGAGCCAAGGGACTCTGGCTGCTGCCTTCCTGCAGGGCATCTGCCCTAGGAGAGTTCCCCATGTAGCCCTGTCTTGCTGATAGGACAGGGAGCATCCGCTGTGTTCTCAGCCCTGCAGAAGCCGCCTCCCCCTTCCCCTCCCCCCGCCCCCGCCCCCTGCAGTCTACCGGCCCAGGGTCCTCAGGGTGACCATGTGCCCTCTCCCCAGTGCTGCTCCTGCCCTGCCAGCCTAACCACAGGCTTCTCTGGCGCTGGAGCTGGCCATCTGTCTCCTCTCTGCTGGTGTTTCTTTTGCCAAAGTTTACTGAGTCCCCAGTTGGGGCTCTGGGACTTCAGAGCAAATAAGATGTGGTTCTTGCAGCTAGGGCTGCGGGGTCTGGTGTAGGACGCATAGGTACCATACCCTCAGGCCGAGGGGTGCTGGGAACGCCACCCAGGGCAGGTGCCTGTGCAGGGGCTGTACTGCTGCTCTGTGGAACCGGAGATCGTGAGAGCTGAGTGAAAGCCTGCAGAGCATGGGGACTCACCAGGAGCCAGAGAGGGGATGGTTTGAGCTTCGTCCATCAATGGCTCCACCACTCACAGCCCGGGAGCCCTCTGAAGGCACTTGGTGGTGTCAGACACAGCACTGGGCAGCAGGGCTACTCCTGGAATGCCTGACAGCTCCAGGGAGCTGTGCAGTTGTACCCTGTCACAATCTGGGGTCGTGGGAGGGGACGGGTGGGGGAGAGACAGCTTTGGGGTCCTGTAGCCCCTATAGGTGGCCCGCATGGGGCTTCCTCTTCTGGTTTCTTGGAGGCACACCCTGCTGTGTGCAGGGAGTTGAGCTGCCTGCCGTGTTCAGAAGCCAGGTGGACCCTTGGGGTGTTGGTTACAGGTGGGCGGCTTCCTCTGTTGGCAGTTCTGGAGGCTGCAAGTCTGAAGTCAGGGTCCAGGCAGGGTTAAGTTCTGCCAAGGCCTGCCTTCCTGGTCCTGAATGCTCTTCTAAGAGCAGCAGTCCCACCGTGGGGGGATGGGGGAGGCTCATGACCTTCTAGGGTTCCCATGTCTGATGTCATCTCATGGAGGTAGAGCTGCAGTGTGTGAATTTGGGGGAGACATAAAAGTCCAGGCTATGGCACTAGGTCTCTGCTCCCCTGGAATCTTTCCTGCCTGATGCTGTGTGGTGACCGTGCTCTCAGCCCACTGGGGGCCTGGCTGCTGACCTCTGACGTCACTTGTCCAGAAGGTACCTGCACTTGCCCCTGCAGCCTCTTCCATGGGGCAGGGGCTGCTGTGACCACACTCCAGTCTGGTATGCGTCACCGCGTGCCCCCACAGGAGCTGGACAGCCTGAGCTGCATGGGCGCTTGGGTCCGAGCACCAGCCACTGACCAGAACGTGTGTTTGTAGCCTGCTGCGGCAGCAGGTACTGACGGGGGCTGCTCCAGTATGTCGCCTACACACATCCTCCTGGCAGGCTGACAGCAACAGGGCCTTGCTCACGCGTGTGCACCGACAAGCCTATGCACGCCTCTACCCTGTGCTCCTGGTCAAGCAGGATGGCTCCACCATCCACATCCGCTATCGGGAGCCACGACGAATACTCGAGGTATGCCTCCCTCCCCAGTGCTCCCTGGGGTGCAGCTGCTCCTCCAGGGGCTCGTGGGCTGTGCCCACAGCAGCTTAAAGGGGGGAGTAGGGGGAGAAGCCATGACCTGGGATTGCTGGAGGTGGAGTGCTCACCCCATCTGTCAGACCAGACAGCAGCAGTGAGCTAGCTGCGTATGTAACGATGATCAATCTTGAGAAAACAAGTCTGTGTAAAGATGGAGAGCTCTGATGACAGAGAAAATCCAGCAGAACATAAAAGCCCTAAATACAGAGTGGAGAATGAGGTGAAGTGGAGGCAGGGACAAGGTCCTGGGCCCTCCAGGTGAGCTTGTGCATGCCCTTCCCCACAGATGCCCATGGACCTGGATGCCCTGTCCCCAGAGGAGAGGCGGGCACGGTTCCGGAAACGAGAGTCACAGGTCCAGAAGAAAAAGGAGGAGCCAGAGCTCTATGATGACTTTGACGTGGAGCCGTACAAGCAGTTTTGGACGAAAAAATGACCAGGCCTGGAAGTGTCCTTAAACCGTGTGTTCTCAAAGCTGCCTCCACCTGGCCTTTCCTTCCCGCATGCTCGAGTCTGTTGTGAGCTCTCTGCGACCCAGTGGGCTAGGTGGCTAAGGATTGGGTCAGGCTGTGGTGTTCAGAGGTCTGAAGGGAGTGCCCGTGTGGGAGGAGGAAGGAGAGGGCCCTTGAGCCCCTCACTCCCTGACCAGCTGCAGCCTCGGGGGCCAGGGGCCCTCAAGAAGAGAGTGGGAGGAGCAGGGTGTCAGGGATGTTGGTACGGGCTGTCAGTGGACTGGCCCACAAAGGGAGGTGCCTTCAGCTGGGCTTGTGGCCCCTGTGGCTACAACAAACCTGTGGTCGGCTGCCATTCTTCTGCTCCAGCGGTGGGTTTCAGCCTGGCCAGGCTTCTGCAAGACCAAAAGGGCAAGCCCCAACATTTCCACTTGTCACTGGCCTGGCCCAGGCCTGCCTCTTGCCCTGGCCTGGGCTGTCGGGACTCTTGGAAACCTGAGTGCCCACCGTAGGGCACTGATACAAAAGGTGGGGAAGGCGCCCATGTTCCATGGGAGGGGGCTGTGTCTGGGCTCCCGGGGAAGGGTGCTGCATTAAGCACCCACCTTTGGACTCCTAAGTCCCTGCTGGTCCACTGAGTTTCCTGGCCACGTGCAGGGTCCTGGGAACATCCAACGGCATTGTCTGCCCTTCCCTTGAAGTGGGGTCACAGCAACGATGCAGGGGTCAACAGCAGAGCAGAGGGTGAGCGGGGCAGGGACAAGTGGGACTTGTAGCCACAAGGCAGGGTGGGTGCTGGTGACGGAAATCACTAAGAGGGCCCCCCCAGGCAGGGGGTTCTGGCAGAAACCACCTACTGAGATTGCTGCTGGTGAGCCTGGCAAGACCTCCACTAACGCAGGGGCACCTGCTTAGCTTCTGAAGGGGGCGGGAGGTGGCAGGCTCTTCGCCACAGTGGGTGACACGGTGAAGTGGACAGAGGGCCCAGGCCCAGGCAGCGCTCTGGTCAGTGGAGGTCCCATGAGCACCAGGTGTTCCTGTGTGTGGGCCCCTGACCCCCGCTCCGCAGGACCTCTCTGCCACCCACGTGGGGGGCTTCACACACTGTCCATGCTGCTGCTCCCCCGTGTCCAGGGCTCGGAGCTGATCCTGCTTTGCCCAGCACAGCCGCCCCCCGCGGCGCCAGAGGAGCCCGTGCATTGGCGCACCTGCACCGTCCCGCCTGCCCTCCACGCTGGGGTCTCCAGGGGACAGCCCCGGGAGTTGCAGGCCGTGTCACGCTTCCTCCGGAGCCGATCCGCCTCCGGTGCCCGCTCCCGGCACTGCGGCCCCACCCGCTCGCCCATCTCCCGGCAGGCACAGCCCCAGGACCGTCGCCCGCACAATGTGGCTCCCAACGCCGGCAGGATCCTCGGGACCCGCCTTGGCGCCTACGCCGGCTCCCTTCCCTGGCGGTGCGCCTGGCGCTGGGGGCGGGCGGGGCGGGCCGGGGCCGGGGCCGGGGCCGGGGCCGGGGCCGGGGCCGGGGCCGGGGCCGGGGCCGGGGCCGGGGGAGCAATGCGCAGGCGCTTGCGGCGCTGCCCGGGTATGCGCGAGTGTGACGTCAAGGCGCGCGACGCGGCAGCGGGCCCCGGCGCCGGCGCCGCCCGGGGCGGCCAGGCCAGGGTTTACGAAGGCCGGGGGCGGCGGACGGCCGACGGCCTGGCACCATGTTCGGCTCCAGCCGGGGCGGCGTGCGTGGTGGGCAGGACCAGTTCAGCTGGGAGGACGTGAAGACCGACAAACAGAGAGAGAACTACCTGGGTCAGTGCGGCGCCGGGCCCGGGGGTGGGGTGCGGGTGGGGTGCGGGGCCGCGGGGCGGGGAGGACGCCCGAGCTGCAGTGCGAGGTGCCGCAGGTGCGGGAAAGCGGGGTCGCGAGGTTCTCGGGCGTGGGAAGCCGGGGGCGCGGGTGCGGGGAACGTGCGGGCATAGGGGTCGGCGGTGCGGGGAAGGAGAGGGCGCGAGGTGCGGGAAGGCGGGGAGCGGCGACCAGCGGGCCGAGCAGTCGCGCTGCGTCCCCGCAGGCAACTCGCTGATGGCCCCCGTGGGCCGCTGGCAGAAGGGCCGAGACCTCACTTGGTACGCCAAGGGCCGGGCGGACGGCGCGGGACTGAGCCGGGAGGAGGAGCTGGCGGCCGTGCGGCAGGCGGAGCAGGAGGCACTCATGGCGGCGCTGTGAGTGGGCCCCGCGGGGTTGGGGGAGCTCGGGGGGCCCGGGGGCGAGGCGGGGTCCGACGGGCAAGGCCAGGGACTCCGGCCGCCGCCTGAAGCTCGCCCGCGGCCCCCACAGAGGCTACAAGAACGTGAGGAAGCAGCCCACTGGCCTGAGCAAGGAGGTGAGGGGCGCACGGGGGGCGGGGCGCCCGGAGTCTGTGCGAACCCCCGCCTGAGACCCGCTGCGCTCCGCACAGGACTTTGTGGAGGTCTGCAAGCGAGAAGGAGGGGACCATGAGGAGAAGGGAGTGGACCGGCTGCTGGGCCTAGGGAGCTCCAGGTGCGTGGCTGGGGGGTGGAAGGCGCCCTCCCCAGGTGGATGCACCGCCCCCGAGGGAGGCCTGGGCCTTCTCACCGTGGGGTCCTCGCCTGCCTTCCCGCAGCGGCTCTGCAGGCCGAGTGGCGCTGTCCCGGGAAGACAAGGAGGCCGCCAAGCTGGGGCTGTCGGTGTTCACGGTAAACCCCCCTCTCTGCGGGCGGGGCACCCCAGAATCGGGCGGGCGCCGAAACTGGGACGCCCCCCCCCCCACAGCCCCCTAGCGTGCCTTCCTTCCTTGGCCCTTCCCTCCCCAGCACCACCGCGTGGAGAGCAGCCGCCCAGGGGCCTCCCCCGCCTCTGCTAGGAAGAAGCCTCGGTTTGAGGAGGAGAAGGTGCAGCCTGGGTAAGGGCTGCTCCCACCCCTTGGTCCCAGGCCCACCTGCTGGGATCCCCCGAGGGGGAGGCAGGGTGCACTCCCACCCCTGCTTTTCCTCCCTGGATGGGGAAGCAGGGCACCTTCCTACCTCTGCTGCTCCTGGCAGTTTCCTGCCACAACGGGAAGGACCGCTGTACCCACTGGCCACGGCAGGGTGTGTGTGTGTGGTGTGTGTGTGTGTGTGTGTGTGTGTACGTACGTGTACGTACGTACAGTGCACAGGGGACCCCACCCCACGTCCCTGCAGCCTGGAGAGCCACAGGAAGAGCAGGAAAGAGAAGAAGAAGAAGAAGAAGAAGAAGAAGAAGAAGAAGAAGAAGCACAAGAAAGAGAAGAAGAAAGACAAGGCACACAGGAGCAGGGTGGCCTCTCCACTGTCTCCAGCTCCTGCGAGGTAGGTGTGCTCAGCCTTGGTGGGGCAGAGGGAAGGTCTGGGGAGCGGGGCAGCCTCCCCCTGACCGCATGTCCCCATATCCCCAGGCCGGGGCACCACCAGTGCAGCTCTGACTCTGAAGATTCTTTGCCCTGCTCCAAGAGGCGACGCAGCCACCAGTGACTGAGGCCAGATCACAAGGGGCCCCCATGTCCAGCAGGGGACCTGCCCCGGGAGGACACACTTGCCTGGGAAGGCCCCGAGACACTTCTATTTTTCTTCAACTCACTTTGTACATAAATAAACTTATTTTAAGGGGAAAGTCTCTCATCCTTGAGGGAAGGTGGCTGTCATGTCCCAGTAAAGTTCCAGCAAGACCAGCCTGAGACCCTGCTGGTGGGGGGGGGGGGGCCTCTCCCTGGGTTACCACGTCCAACCCCAGGGCACAGACGTGTACCTGGAGCCAGCAGTGTGCCCCACCCCTGGGAGGTGAGCACCTAGTCATTAAACCCTCCTCTTACAGCCTGCCTGCAGGGAGGATGAAACCCAGTGTGCACTCATGATTGTGAAACTGGCATCTTTGACTTTAAGTCATCAAACTAAAAACGATTCTGTCTTCATAACCCTGGCCCTGGTTTTTCAACCTGGTAGTGGTGTAAACAATCTTGGGCGGGGGCCAGACTGGGCACCCCCAGCCAGGAGAAGGAACCAGACCAGCATGCCCAGTCAGGTGGGAGGGATGGCCTCCAGCCAAAGAGCCACTAGGAGCCCTGCCAGGGGTTTCCTACCCCTTAGGAGCAGGCTGGCTGGCAGGGATGGGTGTGGGCAAGAGCAGGCCTCGGGCACACCCAGTGTGGTGACCCTGCTGTCCCTCCACATCCCAGTCCTACAGAATAGACCAGGACCAGGGGCTGCACTACCAGTCAGCGGGTGGACGATGAGAGGGCGCTGGGTCATATGCACACCTAACACGGGGAGCAGTGAGCCACACCATGTAGGTCCCTAGCCAGTGACATCCTCTGTGCACAGTGGGAAGTGTGGGTCAGTGGCACCCAAGCACTGGAAAGCCATGAAATAGTTAAGAGATTTTATTCTAGTAGCTATAATTACAGTGCTTGTTTGTCGAAATGAAAACTGAAAACAAGTATACAAAACAGTTGATTACTAATCGTGTATTGAAAGCAGTAAGAGGTTCCACGACACCAAATAAACCAGTTCTGAGAACTTCCCCAAGATAAAGTTGAACAGCTCCAGCTTCTTCAGTGTTTATCAAAATACAAAAGAAAACAGTAGAGGTCGTTGTTTTGATGGCAAATCTGACCCTTGCAGGCTGAGGGAGTGAAAGCACATGTAGACCGGGGCGCCTGGGGCTCGGGGCTGAGGTGCTGGGATGACTGGCCTGCCCACCCGCACTCCTGCTGGTGAGACCCCAGGCAGCCCAGAGGAAGCCAGAGTGCCCACACTGCCCCCAGGGAGGCCGGGGTCCCTCCGAGGGGGTCCGTGAGCGGTGATGCAGCCCCCAGCCCATCTCCTGGGCGGCCGTGTAAGCACAAGTACAAGCACAAATGCTAGGGGATACAGAATGACCCGAGACAAGAGCGATCACAGGGACCCTATTGTGACCATGCAGAATGGACCGTGGCTGGTTCTGCCCTGTCTCACGTTCCCGACGGGAAATGGCCCACTGGTGGACTGGACTCTGGCCGCCACTGCAGAACCTACACTAGGCACGTATCTCCCTTCTGTGGGTTCAAGTGTTCTCCTTTTCTTGTATTTGTAATGATTTTAAAAATGCACTGAGTTTGGGTTAAAAACCAACCACCAAAATGGATCTCAACATAGACCTAATGCCCAGAGGAGGTGTGCCAGGCTGGTCCCACACAGCGACTCCCGGAGGCCCCATGTGCCTAAATCCCTTCTCAGTATTGAACGGTGGGTTGATTCTCTTTGTACAATAAAAAAAGCTGAGTAATATTGCATAGGAGTACCAGAAACTGCCTCGTTGGGAACACAAAACTATTTACATTAAATAAAAACCCGGCTGCAGGCTGCGTCTGCACATTTACAGCATGGTGAAGCACACTGTGACCAACCATGGAGACAGCTTCTGGCACTCACACCACATGAGAGTAAAGCAGGGTGGAAGGAGGGAGTGAGGGGAGGGGGGCGCGGCTCACTTCTGGTTCCGGAGCTGATTGGACAGCCAGTCCAGTCCCTCATACAGCCCATCCCCGCTGGTGGCACAGGTGGCCTGAATGTACCAGTTCCTGTGGCGCAGGGAGTGCAGCCCCAGCTTGTCCGTGATCTCAGCTGCATTCATGGCATTCGGGAGGTCCTGGTGAGAGAGGCCCAGTGGCCTGGGGTCAGCAGATTGCAGAGACCAGCCCTCCCGCCCTGGGACCCCTGGCCGCCCCACCCCTGCCCCCATCCTGCAAGCCGTCCACTGGCACAGGGCACAGTTTGCTGGCAGCCAGGTCCCACTTATGCACCTACCTGCTTGTTGGCAAACACCAGCAGGACGGCATCCCTGAGCTCATCCTCTGCCAGCATCCTCATGAGCTCCTCACGGGCCTCATTCACACGCTCCCGGTCATTGCTGTCAACCACAAAGATGAGACCTGCGGAGCCGTGGGCATTAGTACCAGCACCAAAGGCACCCCGACCTCTCCCTCGGGCCATAGCCCCTCTGCTCACCTTGTGTATTCTGGAAGTAGTGGCGCCACAGAGGCCGGATCTTGTCCTGGCCACCCACATCCCACACGGTGAAGCTGATGTTCTTGTACTCCACGGTCTCCACATTGAAGCCTGTGGGAGCATGACCCGAGTGAGCCTCGCGAAGAGCTGCCCCCGCCGTCCCCCCATGCCCACTGCCCCCCCTCCTCACCTATGGTGGGAATGGTGGTCACGATCTCACCCAGCTTTAGTTTGTACAGGATGGTGGTCTTCCCTGCAGCATCCAGGCCCACCATGAGAATGCGCATTTCTTTTTTGCCAAAAAGGCCCTTGAAGAGGTTTGCGAAGATATTTCCCATGCTGTAGACTGGTGGGAGCAACACTGGCCAGAGAAACCTGTAGAGACAGGAGTCCTGGGTCTCTGTGCTGCTCAGGGCCAGCAGTGTAGAAGCAGCTTGGGGCCCTCCCTCCAGCACCAGATGAGACCTGGTTCCCAAGGAGCAGACATGGAGTCCTGCCCTTACATGGGAGCTCTGGGGATCTCAGGGCAGGTATGACCGAAGCCAGAGGCTGCTGTCACCAGAAAATGATGCCCACATCTGCTCCACCTGCCCTGGGCGTGATATATAACACATGACACATGGAGGGGGAATGCTTTCAGTGAATGTGAGATGCTCCAGAGTATCGGCAAAACGGCTACAACAACCATCCCAGCAGTGACACAGGCCAGAGCCCACCTTCACTGACAAACTGAAGCTTTGCATTCACCCATAGGCAGGACCTGGGCCCTGGGACAGCACAACAGCCATGACATCCGAGGGGGAACCTGTCAGGCGGGCACTTTCACCCCAGGGTGGAAGTAGCCCCTAGGCCACATCGGGGACTATTTGCCCCAGGGTCCCCTCGTTGAGAGCAGAAACCTGGCCTGACCCCTCCTCAGGGAGGTACTTTCATTCTTCTAGTTTCTTTTCCTAACAGGGACTTGGGAGACACTTTCTCAAATGCAGGTTGCCCAGGAATCTAGGTTTTTAACACCTAGCAAAGCCACGTAGCAGGGTGTGGGGCAGCCTTCAGACAAGAGCAATTGTCTGTGTGGACAGAATGTTAGTGTATTTCAGGCAGACAGGCAGATAGAGCAGTCCTGAGGTGGAAGGAGCCCAGCCACGCACAGCTGTCCCTAGGAGTGTTCAGGAGACCCCAGGCTTTGGAGCATGGAGAGGATGCAGGCCTGCCTCCATGCCACTTCTGATGACAGGCTCAGGTAGCATCACCAGGGCTCCACTATGTTCAGCCCTCATCACCAGTGAGCACTGGGTGAGAACATATACATTCCCACTCCCCCTAGTTTCAGCACCCAACACACTCTGGCCGAATCACCACCAGAATAACTGTCAAACCTGCCTCATCATTCCTACAACCAGTCCATCAGCACTGGCCCCTAGGATCCAGGAGGCAATGACATTCCTGTTTTACGTGGTGGGTCTGATGCTGTGGTGGCTCCAGGCATGCCCAGTGGAGGCCTTCCAACTGGCTTGAGTACACTTTTTTCAGTTGTTAAGAAATTTTATAATTAAGTCCTCTCTACCCCCAATGTGGGGCCTGAACTTACAACACTGAGATCAAGAATTGCACGCTCTACTGACTGTGCCAGCTGGGCGCCTGGATTCAATGCATTTTTGACATTTTTATTCTTCTGGTTGTGAACAGTATTTATTCACAAAATTAAAATTTAAAATAATCTTTACTGCAACATTTCCTTTTTCCTCAGCCAATTTTCCCAACATATACTCTCTGGGGAACACACATGTTCATTCTCAGTTCACTGTTGAAATCACTAATGAAGAGGTACCCAACCCACAAAGACAAAAAGAAAAAGAGGGCGACAAGGCATTCTAGAAGCCATGGTGGGGTAGGTGGGCCTGACCTCATCATGTGTGTCCTCAGCTCTGCATGGAAGGGACCTTCTTAGAGCAACTGAACCAGGGGCCCTGCTGCCCCCTGTATCCTTGGCAGGTGAGGTGCTGGACAGACAGGCACTCTACCCCACAGGCCTCCCAGCCAGGGCAGGACCTATGGCTGCTCGTTTCAGGAGGACCCAGAATAGCCATGGCCTAGCTCCCTTTAAAAACCTACCAATGGAAGAAAGGAAAAGAATTTGGGGGGCGGGGGGACAGAAGACTATTGAAAACAACCACGCAACCCACACCTAGCCCCAAGGCAACAAGGTGATGATCTGATGCAGAAAAAACAAGGACAGGGTGTTGGACACAGGGAAAGGCTCTTGGCAGACCTGACAGCCAAAGTGAAATACACACACATACACACACACATACACACACACGATGGATAAAAAAGATTAGGAGCAATTTAAAAGGTCCACATTGACCTTGGTCATGGGAGTGTCTTTTTAGACACAACACCAGAGGCATGAACCATGAAAGAAACAACTGACATGGTGGACTTCATTAAAGCTACGAACTTCCACTCTGGGCAAGACCATGTCAAGAGAGTAAGACTGACCAGACTGTGAGAAAACATGTGCAAGATCAAGGACTGTTGTCTAAGAAATACCCAAAAGACCATTTAAAATTCAATAACAAGCAAATTTCTTTTTTCTTTTTCTTTTCTTTCTCTTTCTTATCTTTCCTT